CAACGTGACTGGCAGGGTCGTCGGCAGCTGCGGGTGTCAGTCTTGCCCCGTGTCGTCGCGGGAGGCGTCCTGGGGCCGCCCAGGTCTGCGGCTTAGGGGCACCCGCGGAGATGCACCCAGGTGATGTGCGAGTTGCCCAGTGGCAGAGAGTTTCCCGGATCCAGGCAAACACGGTTGTTAGGACACCTTATCTGCGCTCAGTGTCACCACCTGGGCATGACTGCCTGTCCTGGAGAGAGCGCGTGGTGGGGAAATACAGGCCACTCAGAAGCCAACTGTTTACTGTTGATGAAGCGGGATTTAGCAATTGTTCAGCCTGTGTGTGTGTGTGTGTGTGGGGGGGGGGGGGTCCTGTATTTAATTCCTAAGGCCTAAGGAAGCTGAGAGTTTTTTAGGCTTCCAGAAAGGTTCATCTTTTTTTGTTGTTTTTCTCCAAAGCAAGGGAAACGTCCTTTATTGTAAGGTCACTTGAAAAGGTCAATCGAAGAAGGCTGGTAAACATAACATCAAGGTGAAGCCGTGTGCATCCAGAGAAGGAACTAATGTTAAACATTTGCACTTTGAAGAAATTGTGGGGGGATGAAAGTACCTTTGTGACCGTTGATTTTGAAGAACTTTTATTGGAATTCATTGAACTTACTTTAAATTCCCTGTTCAAAGCCTTTGTCGGGAGAACAGTTTCATTATTTTGTTTATGGTAAGTGCTGCGCTCAGTGAATCAAAGGGAAGAAAGTGAACTAAACCTTGAGCCTGGTAGATGAGAGAAGCTTTCCAAGTCATCCTTTTTCATCGTGGTCTGACTCCTGGGAGGATTTGTGCTAATTCCCCACTTGCTTGAACTGGTGTGGGCACCTGTGCACTTCTCTCTTCTGCACTCTCCATAATTGGCCCCACAGTTGAGCACGTGGTTACACTTGTGTAGATGAAGGCGTCCAACCCTTTTGTTGGAGAATCACCAGATTCCCCGGTGATTCTAATGTGCAGCCAAGGTTGAGAACCACTGGCCTAGGGCTGCCTTGGGTAATTAAATTGTCCTGTCACTTCATTATTATTCAAATGGCGTTTGTTGGCTCCTCCTAGTTTCTTGGGAGACTTGAGAGATTCAGAATGTGGTTGCATTGGCAAGGTATTTGAAATGGTAGCCACACAATAGGGTGTATTTGTGATACTCTAAAAAAAGAAAAATGAGAAAGAGACTATGGGAAAGAACAGCCCTGTAATTTGACACTGTCCTGGGGGCCAGAGGACCTGTTTATTCTGCAGCCTTTTAAAGGGGCATTTTAAAAACTGATTTGGGGACTTGAAATTGAAGTGAAAGTAAAGCTTTGCCTCAGGGGTGGGCTTCCCCAGGGCACCTAACCTAAAGGCAGACCCATCCAGAACTCATCCTTTTGATTACTTCACTGATAAAATCCTCCCTTGTGAGTTCTTTGCTCAACCTAGAATATTGCTATAAAATAAACGCACTATTTATGTGGTAAGAGGACCCACAAATGGAAATTTGCTGCCTCAGACCTCACTGAAGCCAGGCCTTTCTCCATGTGGGCCTGGCCTGCTGTGGGGAGGTAGTCTGTTCTCGGAAGACTTCCTCTATTATTTCAGGCTCCTGTTCTTTTCACGTGTTCCCGGTTTTGATTTGGGGCTTTAGACCTGAATCTCTGTCAGAACATTTGCTTTCTAGAGTAGCAGATAGGCTCCTTGGTCAGCAATTCTAGCAAAGACTGTCCCTGACAACAGTCATGCCAGCTGATATGGGTGAGGGAAGAGGTGTTAGGAGTTGTGACTTCCATTCCTGGTGCCACCAAAGGGTCATCTTGATTTCTAATGTGACCTGGACACATGTTGCATTATAACCCTGTGTTATTTTTGGTAAAATTTTCATTTACCTACCCTCAAACTTAAAAAAGCGGTGGAGGGGACAAGGTGGGGGTGGAGAGGGACTCACTCTGAGAAAAGATGGATGTGGTGCAGTTTGAACAATGAGCAATGCCTGTCTCTAATGAATGCGCCTCCCCCTTCACTTTCTTACTAGACTTGGTTTAGTGCTGAGCTCAGTGGAAACCTGGGGCTTTTTCCATGAGTTCAGAAATCTACCCTGGTGGGTGGGATGCTGGACTGACTAGCATCGCTGTGCAAAAGAAAGTGGATTGAAGGTGGATAGTGTGATTTTCATTTCCCATAGTCTTATAAGGAACCTCTAATTTTATTTTTAAACCGAGTGTCTTGTAGGTTTGGAAATGTAGTGCAGCTAAGGTGAGACTTAAATTGCACTTCCCTGGCTTGCACTCCAGACTTGATTCATGAATACCAGGAGTGTTCTCTGGTACTTTCGTTCTCTTAAGGACGTATTTGGGCACCTGTCAACGCCCCTTTCAGGGCATTTAATCAGAGATAGGTGAATCTGTCTCACCTTCAACTTCCATGCTCCAGATAAAACTGCCGTGCAGTAAATAATTAAGCCATTGGAAACAATTGCATCAAAAGTAATGATTGTTCTTTGACACATGGACTTTAAATCTTTAGGAAACTGCTGCACTTTAAAAACTAATAATAAGGAAAGCAATTAAAAGACCATATGTAATAAAAAAGTGAAATTGTTTTTTCCCCAAAATCCCAATATTTAAGGGAAACCTGGCTAAGATAGCTGCTCACCCACAGTCCAGCTGAGTGCAGACTTGTTTCCATGGCAGTCTGTGTATTCTCTTAGGGCCTGAGGAAGTGACAGTTTAGGTGGTTACTGGAGGCACACACACACATCCAAGGTCAGCAGGTGGTATTTCCTTGATGGGTGTAAATGCTGTGACTCCAGCAATTCATGTCTATTAATCAGTAGTGTCAGGTTTTTCCCACTTAAAATGATTTAAAAATTATTAGTGAATTCATCTTGCAGTTTCTTCAGAGTAAGCAGAGATCATTGTTCTCCCGATATGCCAGAGATACCAGGGGACTTTAGTGCAGCCACAACATGGTGTAGAACTGAGCGAGGTTTAGGAGAGGGTCAAGTTTGTGAAAATATAAATCCCTTTCCTTATAGTTCTGCCTTGTCCAAACGGAGTTGGGATTGCTATAGCCCTGTCCATAGCTAATCTCTTGGGTTTTCTTCTGGCCCTGAAAATATGAAGATATGTAAGAGTTGGAATAGATGTAAATACAGAATAGTTTTAAATGATATGACCAAGGCCACCTTTAGGCACAGTGCTTGTTTGAATACAT